AGTGCATAAATATGCACTAAAAGTAATAAAATATGCAAAAAAAAAAAACATTTTATGATAACTTAATTAATCATGTTGCTATATGATATAAATAAATAAATAACTTATACCATATAAAGTGGAATTAGTTAATTAACATGAATTAATTACAAATAGAAATAATTAATGCTATGTATTATAATTAGTTATTATTATTAAGGAACAATATTTTAAAGGCTATGGTACTGAAAAAGATTTATTACAAAAAAACCAAAATATCACTTATATGTTGCTTTGAAATATGTAATATAACATTTCGTATTTAGGTTTTTAGTTATCTGATACAAATTTATAGCTCACAAACTTATCTCTAGAATCGTTTTAAAAAATATATGCAAATATTAGATGTTATGAGGCCTGGGCATGATAGAATAAATCTATTCTGCAGTATCATCATCTGTAAGACATAAAGATAATCTATTCCATAATTTCTATTGATAGCCATGAACAATCAAATAGTTAATAATAGTTAATTATTAATAAAATTAAAAATGTTTAGACATATTTCACAATTAATGATAAAAAATAATACAACTTATTAATTGAAGTACCTACATAAAATAAAAAATATTTTTATGCATTTTATCAGAATAATTCTACATTACATTAGAATATTTTTTTAAAAAATTAATTAAATACAATTTTCAGTTATCTTCCAGTTCGTTTAAATATATAATAAAATATATTGTAAGGTTTTCTTTGTCTTCAAGGTAATTTTTTTTAGAAACAATTTTTTAGGAGCAAAATTTATAAGCTTTACTATATCAATCTAAGCATAAAACCCTTACACCAATTAATTTAATACTAGATAGATAACTGATTTTACCCAGTAAAAATATTTGGTAAAATAATCTTCTTTAACATATGGTATTCAAAATAAAATTTGCCATTTAAGAAAAGTAAAAAAATTAAAATGTATCATGATAAAAAAAATAATAATTTAATTAATTTTGCAAAAACAAATGATTTAAAAAAAACTTAAAAAATGACAAATATAAATATAAATACAATTAGTAATAATATATTTAATAATTGAAGGTATGTATAAAGGTGTATAATTTTTTTTTTTTGGGGGGAAATGAATTGTTAAACCCTCTTAAAAATAATAAAGGATTAAATAATGTGCAATAAAATGATAAATATGTACCATGTATGTTACTACAATACAATATTTTATGAAGGAGGCAAATGCTCCTACCACTCCCTTCTAAATTATATGCCTGAGTAAAGGCAAAAAAAGAGGTGATTAATTCTAAATAAATTTTATACATATTATGGGAAATCAAAAAATTAAGATTTTTAATAAAATATTGAATAATAATTAATTATAAATTATATTGTAAAATTATTTATTATTAAATAATATTTTTTAAATACATAATTAGATTTCCTAACTAAAAAATATATACAATGCACATAAAATTAAAAATTAAATATTATGAGTAATAAATACTATATTTATACATAATTATGAAACAATTTTCAAATATAAATTATAATTGCAACATTATGAATATAAGTTTAACCTTTCTGTATTTTTAAATATTTGAAGCACTTTTTTTCCAGGTTTTAATGTTTGTGATAGCCCTGTTTTCTTTTTTTCTCTTATTCAAACTATTAGTGTCCTTATTTGATTCATCTTTCTTTAAAACAGTAGAGCTATTATATAATTCTGAATCGTGGGCAAATTTACATTTGTTACCAAAACGGCAACGACCTTTTTTATTCATCCAACAAATATTTTTTCCATTAACTTTTGTGATGTAGTTTTTAGCAGGAACCATTTTAACATGTTTTTCTAATACCGCGCTTTTAGCTCGTTCAGCTTCTAAATAAGGATTTCTGAAGACTGATTCATTTATAATACCAGTCTCTTTAAACCTTGGAGCAGGAAGCTTATTATCAGGTTTAGTTTGATCAATCAATCTAAAATACAAATAAATAATAACATTATAAGTTGAATCAATTCTTTAATTATATGTAAATACAAAATAAGTAATGATATTTTTAATACAAGACATTTCATAGCGTTTAAATACATTTTATTTACTTCATTGGAAGTAAATAGTTTACCTAAAATAACCTAATACTAAAAAGCATAGGCAACATAATATTGACTACTGATGCCAATGAAATATAATTAGTCGTACATAGTATAATGAATTTATTCAAATTTCTAACACCTCTTAGGTCCTTTTACATATATAACAGTTTTTTAAGTAAATTTTTAGTATTTATGATTGAATAAAATGTTTTAAATACCAAAAGTGCTCGATAACAATAGTATGAAGATCAAAATATATTACAATTACAAAATTATTTAATTAATTTAATTTATTAGTGACTAGAGTGTAGAGCACATACTAGATCTACATCTAATAACTCAAAAATAAAGAACAAAAGCTAAATCTTAACTTTATTATCTTAACTAAAAAAGTTAACTAGTTAACTAGTTAGAAGTTTTTACGATTCATAAAAGATAGTAGAATCATAACAGATCTATAAGCTCCATTGCATTGGTAGTATGCATTTTTGTCAAACCAATATTTATTTGCATATATATCTAAATAAATAATGCAGTTAATTTGTTTAAATTAAATAAAATTAAGTATGTCAATGTAAAAAGTAATTGCTATTAATAATCATTCACATTATTTATAAAAAAAAATTTATTATAATAGTTTATGTAATAATTTTGAAATCATATGGTTAAAATATAGATTTATTTAATAAACTAATCATAATTTTAATGCTTATTGAAAATTACTTTGCTTCCTTAATATTTTCATCGTGATTTAAATCACTTTCATATGAATCGGTATCTGTTTCATCTCCATAATCAGCTACTAATGAATTCATTCTGAATTTCGTAGAACAACAAAATTACATTTAGAACAAACAATACAGTTACAACATTTGAATAATAAATTATTTTTTAAATGTAATTCAAGAAAATAAAATTACTATACATTTTATCATATCGTAATTATATCACAGATTACATTGAACTATATGATGCACCCAAAGGCTTTTAGATAATACCACAAAATATATGAAATATATTTCATATATTCTGTGATAATACCACAGATTACATACAATTTGTTTTATCAAGATGAAAATAATGTTATCATATTATGTTAATTGCAAAAAAGGGGCTAATGTAGGCAGTTTTATTTAAGAATCCGGAAAAATTCCTACGAAGTAGTAATGTTAAACTATGAAAAATATTTATCACACTGTGATAAAAAATCACAGTGATTGCTACTCTAACTGCTACTTTCTTTTTTTCACGTACTTATGGCGAATCACATGTTTTCTTTGCACCAAGGTGTATGTATACATCCACCTTGCTTTACACTCAGAATATCACAGTAATCCATAAAGTTAAGGCCTTCGCATACGCTAGTTTTTTTACCAGAACTCTGATGGAAGAGCTGGTTAAAATCTGTCACACACTTTACACGTACATAAGTATATGTCACTTTTTTCTATGATAAATGCGTTGCCAGAGAACTCTGGTAATGTACACTGTCCTAAACTCTCCAACGTGTTTACACCTGACGTTCTTTTTTTTTATCCGTCTAGAGTTTTACTAGACAACTAGTGTTAATGACTACTGAATGATTATACAATTTTCTCTATAAATTAAAAAATATATATATAAAGTATATATTTAATAAAAATATATGCGGCCGGGCTAGCTCGACCCGGCCCGACCCACACCAGGATTGGTCCGGGCCGGGCCATAATTTAAATATTACGAGTTGGTTATAAGTGGGATCGTAATATTATTTATTGGGCCGGGTCGGTTAAACCAAAACTAATTGATATAATTTGTAGCATTATGTATTCTATATCTATAAATAATTTTTGTATTTAAATTTTAATAAAATTTAGGATATTTTTTTTTTTTTTGTAAAACATTTACTCTCTTTATGAAATGTTTTTGTCTGCTAAGTTAATACTGAAAGGAAATACAGTTGATGTATAATTTTATTTACAAACGGGCATGGTCGGGTTGGACTTTGAAAAAAAAAAATTACAAACGGGCCTGGTCGGACAAGATTAATAAAAAATAAAATATGGACCGGGCCTGGACGACGACGATTTATAAGTTTAAGTTTTGGGTCGGATTGGGCCGAAAAAAAACGGCCCGTGCTGATCTCTAGTACACTCCTATTATAATGTATTCACTTATCGCACAATTTGTTTTTTTCAGACAACATAAGGATGATCTTACTCCATTTTTATAGTTTTTTGTGTGCAGATTCACGTTGTATAATGAATATATATTCATTAATTATTATTGAAATAATACATTATGCGTTAGATCTTCTTTCTTTGAACTGGCTATACTGTATTTGAATGTTTTTTTTACTTTGATAATTCCATATCTAAAAAATGTCAATTTTTGACCTAACCTAACCTAGCGCTTTTGAGACTTATAAATTGTTGTATCTAATATACTTTTAATAAATGCGTCCCTTCGTTATGCTATAGGTTAAGTTACTGGAGAAGACACTTATAATGTTTTAATATGTTTATAGATTATATATATTATTATATATTATTATATATAATAATGTTTATAATGTTTGTAATCATAAATATATATTTTATTCTGTAACTGAAATATCAAGATATATATATGAATATTTATACCTTTTTTTAAATTCTTTGCACGTCTATTAAATATAAAAATAATACACATATTTAACGTTTAACTATCATTGAGAAGACACATAACTTTCTACGGGTATTATTATTATGCTTATTTTCAAATACACTGCGGTTTATTCTCTGCTATTTGATTTTTATTTATACATATATTGGTTTTTATATGTTTGACACCACATATAGATTGTAAATATAGTACCGGAAGTATGGTTCCGTAGTATTTTTAAGAAAACAATTGAGTAAGGGTCTCCTAGATAGCGAACGCCTTTGACGCTGAAGGCGTATCAGTTTTTCACCCGTATATTATCAATTGTAATAATTATCACAAGTAGTAACCTTGGTAGTATTGGATGATAAATTGTACATACAAAAAAGTGTTTTGAATATTATTAATTTATATTATTAATATTACATATATTAATTACTAATATAAAATATGTTAAGCGAATTTCACCCGGAGCGAGGCACAAAGAAGCTAGTATTATTATATTATTATAGCAGTGCAATATAAACACTTCGACCCTGGCATTATAAGTTATTTTGGGAAGTAAATACGACAACGAGAAAAGCAAATGGTGGCAATGGTCGAACGTAAACCTGGTTTTAGACTCCAGGAATAAATTATAGGCTATACATAAATATTACTCGTCTATTGGTATTACCAGTGTCAAATTCTCATGAAAATGAACAGACATGGGTTGATGAAAACGATGAAAATAGTTTTAGGTAAAGAAATTCTCAGAATATTCCATCGAAATTATCGATCTGTGTGCTATTAACTAATAATTATGTTATAGTACATGCATGTTGCTTACCCATTATCTTTTAGAATTAAGAAATTGAACAATTCAATTCTGTTACTGTGAAAGTGCGTATTAGTGTCTTGTACTATTTATTTTGTTAACTGTTTTTAATCGTCAACATTATTTTAAAATTAATTATATGCCAAATTATTGAGTAAGCTTTGTTTATTTTGGAAATATAAAATCAGCAGTATCACCGTTAATATACTGTTAATGTAACTGAGGTAACTATTATTTTAACTAATTTTCTTATTTTATTACGCTCTTGCTTATTTGTATCTTTATAGTTATGGAGGTATTACAAAAAAAAAAAAAAAAAAAATAATAATAATGGAGATTATGAATGGTACTAAAACCATTTGAATATTGTATAATGTAGCAAATGAAGAATTGCCCCCTTTATTCCAATTATTTATAATTTGAAAGCATAAGAATTTAATTACTATAACCCACTCTCTATTTCAAAGGTGAAAATTTTTCCTTTCTCTTAATTTTTTTTATTGATTTAAACAAAATAAGAATATGAAATAACGTGGGGAGGAACCACCAGACTTTGGAGAGAGAAGTTTATTTGGTTAATTAATACAAATAGAGATCCAAGGCGGTGGAACCGAGGACCTCCTTTATTGGGAAAAAATATTAAAAATGAAGTTCATTTAAAAAAAAAAAAAATAGAACTTTATCAATGGCGTAGCCATAAATCTCACAAGGGGGGAGGGCCACCAAATGTAATATACTTTTATGAATTGACAAAATTAAATTCCATTGTAAATCTTGGTAAATTCATAATAACAAAATTGCATATTTTAATTCATCACAGTATCACACAACTAAAATAACAGAACAATAGTCTCATTTTTGTATATCATGATATAAGTTTTAAGCAAACAGTTTTATCAAAAATCGTCATTACTGATTTTACCATGATTATACATAGTAATTATCAGGGTTGAGATTTTATAGCACTTATAATTGCATAAATATACGCTATAATATTACCTTAAAAATCGCTTAATAAGCTCTAAAAGTATGCAATAAAAACAAAAAAAAAAAAAAAAAAAAAGGAAATTTATTATTTAATAATTTTATACAAGCACACGAGACGAATGTGAACTGTATAAAGTGATTTCTACACTCGTTCGTTGATAATCGGCTATTAGTAGATTTAGTAGAAATCGACAAAAAAAAAAACCAACAAAATCAACATATAACAAAAATTAGAACCCAATAACTAAAACAAAATTATTGTATTATATTATACCTACCTATATATTATTGCTATAAATGTACAGAGTTGCATCAGCGTAATTGGTCTATTAACTTAATCTATACATAATTTAAAATTAAAATTAAAATTTTGAATCTTGAAAATTTGATTGACAAAAATCAAAAAAATATGTTTACCGATATACAATTTTATAAAATGTGCCCGATTTTGATTAAAACACAGGTAAAAGGTTATAAAGTCTCAAAAAATCCAAAAAAGCACCATAAACTAAAAAAAGCAAAATATGCAAAAAAAAAAGCAAAATAAAATTTTTTATATGAGTTCTCTATATCATGAAACACATTTTTAGCTTTGCTATTTTTTTTAAGCATCTCATAAGAAATATGTAAATGCTATAAAATCCTAACCCTGGTAATCACTAATCAGCCTTAATCGTGGTCATAATTCACAACCATAACGACAGTGTAGTAAGTTATTGAAAACCCGTGATAATATTATCATTAATTGTTAAAAATATATTTATAAATATATTTTTATCATTATTATCAAAATACATATACAATAATATAAATAATACATTTATTATATTTGGAAAGACAATGAAGGGATTTAAACACCCTCACCCCGTCTACGCCACTGCCTTTTCGATGTCATTGAAATAAGACTGCGAGTCGGACTGTGACAAATGCTGTCCGTCATCCACGACGTTGTTAGTTTCTATTATAATTTTTTTTGTTTTAAGTTAAAAAAAATTGGTCATCTTTGATGTTCTTTTGATGTTCAATGCATATTTATAAATTCGGTTGTCAAATTATACAAATATTAATATATTTACACAAGTAGATAATTACGTTATAAATAATGCATTGACAAGTAAAAGAATGTGTTATTGATAACTACACGACTAGACTAGGATCACACTATACTTTGCATCCTCTATCAGTAATTAACTAATTAAACAGCAAATGAGCAACATATGCGGTATTAACGTATTGTTCGAACGATTCTAGAGAAACGGTCTAGACTAGATACTCGTGATGGGCAAAAGTGACTAATAACTACCGACTTAGTCGGTAGTATCAAATGACTAATTTAGTTACTCCAACATTTTTATTATTCGACTAGTTATTATTATTTGACTAATTTTTATTATTTGACAAGTTATTATTATTCGACTTATTTTTATTATTCAACTAATTATTATATTATTCAATTTGACTTTTTTTTATTATTCAACTGATTTTCATTGGACTGATTGCAAACTTTAGCATGAATTACTTTAATTCAACAATATAACATAAATAATAATAATATAACAAAAAAACATAAACATTACTAGGAAAAATAAATACAAATTTACAACTGTTTTAAATTTATAGTGTGTGCGACGTACGTGTCATTATCGTTATTTTTGTTTTGACTATGTATGACTGCTGCAGTCAACTGCGGAAACAAAACCTTACCTTTAAATAGAATTACGACTACAATTTAA